TTCTCCAGAACGATACACTGCAACTTCCATGACAGATATCGAACACATACAAGCCAATGAAGTAAGTTTGGAGTAAGATCCACACGGTTTCAAAGGTTCTCTTACTGCGGTAAGCTGAAACTTAAATGGAATACCCACAGAAATAGATTAGAAAACAAGAACTTCGTAGCTCCAGCCGTGTCTCGAACGTTGTGAATGTGAAGAAAGGCAAAAGTTTTTGGCACCAACGGGCCCCTCGACGCTTGTGGGCCGAGGTGAACGGTTGATCCTGTTCATTGAATACCAAACGAATAGTAGATAGGTTCTCGATACTTCGAGGGCAGAGCAGGAATAATAGCTGAAAGAAAAACAGAAGTTGAGTTTACAAGTTTATACCATTAGTGGTGAAGAACTAGCAAAATACTTGAAGCGAACGATGCAAGCGATGAACGTTTCTATACTTTTTTATAGAGCAGCAAGAGAAAAGGGTGTTGATAGGTAAAAAGTGCAGTAAACTTCTCAGTAGCCCATAAAAATCCAGCTAAGAAGTAAGTGTAGATGAACTTGGCACGAACTCATATCACCACTTGACGTATTGTAGTAGAGTAAGAGAAAGTAAACGTTAGAAAAGCGAAATTATGATTCACAAAGGAAAGAAAAACCATAGGCAAATGACTGTAAAAGCAAGCTTGCTCTAGGGGCTCCGCTTTATGACAAGTTTATTACTGTTGCCTGTTACTCATTTTCTGATATTTTACAATAATTAATAACAATGCACATCGATACACCACAAGGTAGCTGTACCGAAGAAAACACTTTATTTCAGGGCAATACAGACTAGTTATTTCTACCTTAGAATTAACTTCGATATTGTCTGTTGCTATTGAACTTTTAGTTCTATCACATACCTACATACGTTATATGTATACGTTACAAACAAGTGATGTCGCATCACTTTATTCTGTTTTTGCGCTTAGTGGTGCCCCGGAATCGAAGAGAACGTTTCTAATATCTGTGCATGCTTCAAACCGCGTAATAGTATTAGAAAGAAATTTGCATGCGGAGACGCCTTCACCCCAGGAGATCTTACGCCACTGTCGCTTTGACGTATTAATTTTATAGACACTGAAAATCGTTTTTATCTTCTAGTTTTTGTAAGAAACACCAAACTTGTTCATTATCCTAGACTTCACTGTTCTGCAAAGTCCACGTTTCAAAATCTCGCGTCGATTTGCGCGGTAACTTATTTCTGACAAGTACGTGACGAGGCTTGGTAGTTGTAGCAGATTGCACGCGATATCATAAATTCTTCTATTTTTTGAGTAGAGTAGATAATTGCTTTAGCGAGTTGCACAGATTCAAACCCCGTAGCTCCCAACGACATTAGCCCGTCGGTGCGAAAATACGGTTCGTAGTAAGATCTGCCGCTACCATCGTTTCATTATAAAGGATCAAAGTGTTTTGCCATCCTGCGTTCTACCGCCCTCCAGGCCAGCACATCTAAACAATTTCGCTGACGATAATACCAGCTGGAAGCCCTTCCTGATAAATACCGAGATAAATGTTCAGCCTTGAGGTCTGTTCAACTATTATGTAGAGAGATAGTCTTTGTTCTCTAACTTTATACAGACATTTCATGCCGTATGTTTTATTATAAACTAATTATCTACAAAGTGAAGGAAAAAGTTGGATATAGGCGTAATTATCCCTTCTGGCCCATTCCATCCGTAAGGTATAGGTGTCTGTTATCAAAATGATTCAACCGTTTTACTGCGCAGGAATCGCCACAAAGCTGCGTGAATATGGCTGGGCCACCTTTTCCCCTTGTTCAATTTCTACAGGTTATTATTATTAAGTAAGGAGTAAAGAAAAATCGTAATTAATAGGCAAAGGGACGAAAATGCAGTGTGTCAGAGCTGACGAACGACATAGGAGGCGCTGAGACCGACAAATGAGAAAGTGAAAAGTTGATAGAAAACGAAATAAAGGAGTTTGAGAAAAATGATAAAAGAAAAACTAACGAAAAATGTGCATCCCGCTTGATGAAGCTCTTCTTATTATCCCTTTTCGGCTGAGTCCACCAAATTATAACCGTTGAAGTTACATTCTAAATCTGGAGAGCCGAGAGAGGAGAGAGAAGAGAGAATAAGGCACTTTATTTCAAGACAAAACAGAAAAAAACTTACTATTTCTGCATAAAAACACGATTTTTTCCTTTTTTGTTCCTGTGATTCTGTTACTCGCTGCCTGCTCTGTCGGTATTTCAGCTGCAGATTCCTGTCAATCGCAGGTAAATCTATAGCCTGGGGCCGCGGGGCCTTTTGATTAAGATACTATTTTAATCTTGGTACCAGTTTCCAAATAATAACAACCTAATTATCATTTCGCTTTCTCTTACCATACAGAATCCTCGTGATGACGTTAGGAAAGCCAAGGGTGAAAGAAAGCGATGGCGGTTATGCGGCTTGTCAGTCTATGAAATTCTGACTGTAATAACGAGTGCCGGTGTCTCGATAACCTTTGGCGTTTATACATTTGTCAGCTCGGCTGAAGATCAAAAGACAAGTGAGAAAAATCGACAAGCTGATCTGGATACTGCGCGTTTGTTGAGACAACAGCAACTGTATGATGGATTTATTACTGAGATGTATAGATTACACAGACATGGTGAACTAAGTCCAGAAGCAATTCCATGGGTATTTGCTAATGCACGCTATAGAGCTGCACATTCACAATTCGATGCAGAACGTCAAGAACTCTGTCTTATATTTCTAAAAGAAAGTAGATTAATTGGAACAAATGAAAAAGTCATTGACCCAACTGCTTCTCTTAGTCTTCGTCAAGCATTCATTCTTTCGTCTAAATATCCGTCACACCTAATCAGATTGGATGGACTAAACTTTGATAACCTTCAGCTGAAAAGCTATACTCCAAATATATTTAAATTAGATATGCAAGGTGTCAAGTTTGACAAAGTTCGTCTCTTGAACACCTCCTTTGATCATATTGACCTTACAAATGCAACTTTCGAAAGATCCGGTATTGAACAGACGAACTTTGTTCAATCATCTTTGGTCGAAACAAAATTTAATGGCACAAATTTGACGCAAACCAGTTTTGCCAGTTCTGACTTATATCGAGTTGAGTTCAATGGCGCTACACTTGATCACATAAACTTTCGCAAGTCTGATCTAAGCGGCGCACAGTTTGTCAGATCGAATGTTACAGCCGTTGTTTTTAGCGAAGTACAGTTACAGGATGTATTGTTTAGTGATACAAAACTGACAAACTCAAACTTCGGTACAGCGGTTTTCGTAAATGTGACTTTTAAGAATGTAGTTTTTGAAAACACACCGCTTACACACGAACAAATCAATTCGGCAGTGATACTGGGAAGCACAACGCCTGTCCCAACTACAGGTTAGTATTTGAAAAACTGTGCGAGTTATGGCTGTGCAGTGGACAGTTTTCCAAAGGCAGCCGAAGACTTTGGTTCAACAAATTCTGTTTGACTCCAGACAGAGCCTTTGTACGTTTTCTGACATACTCTTTCTCATGAGATAAGCAAGTCCTCGAAAAACCCGGCGTTTTTAGAGGCTTTGTGGATATGCGAACACTGGAAAGCTTTCGTAAGGCCGGTTTAAAAATTTTCAAACGATCCCTTTGGATTTGCCATGATCGGAGACCTACAGAAAATTCATAATTTCAGAACGGCCTATCGAGATTTTAACTTCTGGACACTGAACGGAATAAACCAGAACGGAATCACCTGATCTTTGATATTCATTCAGCAGAAACTTCCCTCTGAACCAACATCATAATCCAATTGCGCATATGGTAAGTGTCTGCAGACTAGTTTTCGAAAATTACTTTCGTCACAGTATCTCAGAATACTGACAGATAGCGTAGAAAAATCTTAGCTCAAAGTTCGGCGAAGAACTTTACAAATTTCTGTTTTTAAGAAAATTTAGTAAACTTTCAACTAAAATAGTCGAGATACACATATCCAGATGCAATTTTTCACGCTGATTCCAAACTCGGCGTTATTTTTAACTAAAGCGCTTTCAAGCTGAGAAAATGTAAAAAACTTCTGAGAAACCACGGTTTTTGGAAAATCTGCAACTCGGTAAGCTGTTATTGCGCAAGCAGTATAGATGTTACACACGTAGAAGAATGTTCTATGAAAGTTTTCGTCTCGGTAAACCTTGGCTGAATTTGGCGCAAGCACTTCACTGAAAAGGGATCTTGTAAAAATACTTAGTTTTTGAAATACTCTATTCTTCATCGAAAAAAAGCTTTAAAAAACATCGAAAGAAGCTTTAAAAACAATTTTTTTTAATCAGTCAATAGTCCATAGACTCAGCTTTTCATAATATGTGTGTTTCGTTTTACAAGTCTAATGAAAATTTTTAGAGAAGGCTATATTTTCATAAAGCCTTGTAAAAACCGGCAAATAACTGCAACTACTTTTCCGGACGACCTTCAGCACTATGGCCGAACTTTTTTCTCATTAAATTACGCCATCGATTAGTGTATATGTAGAACTATTTCTCACTATATCTCAAAAAATTTCACTTTGATTTTTTGACCTAATGTCCGCTTGATTATCTACTGTGAGCTGGACGAATCTATAATAACTTCTTGGGTGTCCGATAAAGAATGGGGCTTTTTGTTCTGCGTCTACGCTGCTTATCAGAAGAGGCAGAAAAAAAGGTTTTATATAAATTATTAACTCGGCCTAGGAACATTGTAGGCAAGTGCGAAACCCCTTGTTCTGTAGAATTTTTATCGCGCTAGCTTTATGTCGAGTCAAAACTAAATTTTGCTAATTTCGGGATTTCAAAAGTTTTTCTGGAAAACCAGGCGTTCTCATGTTGCTCCTAGCATATACTGAAACTTTTGATTTCATTTTTTTCTTTCTGAAAGAAAATTATTTCGAAACATGTTGGCAATGAATAATCTTCTTTTCCGTCTTTATAGTTGCACCATGTTACATATGCGACACTTCAAATTATGGCTATTCATGCACTAATTGTACTCTCTACAATTACAATTACAATTGTAGTTTAACATGTCTGTGTAGCCCAGTCAGTGGTTCGCCAGTCAATACAACACTGACCTGGACATGGAGTGCAATTGGCACTTTAGTGAGCAATTACAATGGTACCTTACAAAACGTTGGCACATGTTAGATCTAACTGCGTTAAAAGAGGCTTGTGTGACTTGTTCACATGTTGTTTTTTTACTTCTATCAAATATTTTCGAAAATATTACTTTTTAAAACGTTTTTACTGGTCGGCGAGGATTCATTTTACTTTTTCTTTGGGAGCAGCTTATCGGCTGACACTTTAGATGGACTCTTTCGTTTTTTAGGATTAATTTTGCTAAACCGCACTTCTTGATCTTTTTCCATATGTTTTGGGCAAAATGGAAATGACAACCTTTCACCATAGCTGTTGGAAACTTACGCGAGAAAGCATTCCATGAAGCAACTTCAAAATCAATTAAAATTGACTGTGGACTTAATGCCACATTTTGTTGTGTTGCGTATGATAATAAGCGATCAAGTAAAATTTCATATGATGTTTCATTTTTATTTGGTAACGCTGCATGAACAATTGGCTTCATACTAAATTCATCCCATATATGTATACTATATGACTGATAAAATAATTTTGGTGCCGTACGAAAGGTCCCATCAGCATTCCAGTGTTGACTTTTACCGAGAATTTCTAACGATGATGTTGAACAAAAACCTAATACTGCATCTGGATATGGATTATTACAAAATAAGAATTGCTCATCTGATGAAGTACAAGCCATTTGTTGAGGTATAACGAGTGATTGTAATGTTTTTGGTAATAATGGAAATACGGATAAAGGAGTGGAATATAATGATTGTCTAGTAGAATCAAATACTGGACAATGCTGGACATCAAATACTGGACTTACAAATTTTTTCACTTGTTGATTATAGATTTGAGGTATTGGAATGTTGATTCTTCTAAAACATGTTTTTTGATTGAACTGACACAATTTAAAACATTCTCCGGTAATTTTGAATCATGCATTGGATAATGAGTGCCACTATCATCAATACCACTACTACCAATTATGACATCATCTTTTATTGTTATTGAACACGAACAACAATTACGAGTACAGACCCATTTTTCAGTTCCGTTTTTATTTGAACGTTTTAACCGATATAAGTAACTTTTATATAATATACCATCCTGGTTTTTTTTCAGTTTTGATACGA